TCTAAGCAATTATGCACTGCTTTGCTCACTCAATTTTGATGCGGCTGGAATCAGAAGAACAATATTCAAAATATCCAAGTTTCTGGTGCGTTTAGTAAAATTGCTAAGGAAGTCTTAATCTTATAAATCCCCAAGACTATTTACTACTATGAATCCCCAAGATTATTCAAATAAGCTTCTTCAAATTTTAATCAAAGGTCGGAAAAATATATAAATGATTTTGTGAATGAAATGAGCGCGTCATAACCAGCTCTGATCTTTAGGAGCCTCTAAGTAGAAAGGGGGATTCAAACTCTGAAACCTCAGCAAAATCTTCCGTTTGATTCCGTTACACAAAAAATTTTGAAATCTTCGGAAATAAAATGTTTCTTTTGTTCCAGCAACATTTTCTAAATGCTTTTTAAGCGACGAGAGTGATGAAACTAAAGATTGAAACTTATTTGTATGAAATAGGTAACAAAATGTGCGCTAGTCAACCCTGAGGTTTAGGTTCCTCTAAAAAATAATCCTCTAAGAATCAAAAAGACATTTTAAGAATAATAATTAATAGATCCTTTTAAAAAATTCAAGAGAAAATTCAAATCTAAGCTTCAAGATTTTTCTGCTTGGCTCCATCATACAACAAATGCTGCAATCTTCGGAAATGAGATGTTTTATTTTTCTTGCGCAAACACCTTCCTATCTAGGTGCTCCACAATCCCTACTCAATCGCAGCTGGCCAAGTCCATTGATGAGAGTCGTATAAAACTACGGAAAAGGGCCAAAGACTGCGAGGTTTTTTTCGCATTTTTGGATACTGCGCCTAGACAGTGGTATTTCTGCCTTTTACAGAACGGTATCCAAATAGAGAGACTAGCTCTTCCTGTTGACTTCACATCTAGCCAAAACGAGGACTTAAGTGCACCAAAAGGTTACATCACAGTGAATTTCAATCGTGCAGGCACAGAGAAACATGGAGAGGACGGAAATAAAGACGGTAAAAATAGAACGCATTCGAAAGAATATAAACTGTTACAACAATAATAGTAGTTGCTCCAGGGAGCGGTCAAACGAATGCAAGCGCTAAATTCGCAAATAGGAGTGGACATGATGCAAGTGCAAATAAACATCAAGATCGCGGATCAAATGGGGATGTAATTGGCCAAGTTAGTAGCCCAGTTGGGGATGAGAATTATAGTAAGGTGAGAATTTCAATGATATGATGAGCTTTCTTTTACTTCACAATTGGGAATTTGCATATACAATTTCCCTTTTCGTCAGAAAAATGTAAACCCAAACTTATAGGTGAATTTCCCTCGAGTAGCCTCTCGTGAAGGAGGCACCAAGAAAGAGTTGACAGACGAGGGCGGATCACTCAGCATTGCTGGAAAACCGGAACTGTCGTTTCCTGATGATAACATGGTTTGTGAAATTAGACTATTGAGACGAAAAAAAACGCATTTACTGGGTGCGAGCGGCTAATTGAAAATTTTGATTTTCTGAACATTTTGATGATATGGCACTACTACCCTAATTAATCTCATTTCCTTACCAAATTGATCTTCAGTAAATGGTAACTCTACCTCTATAGCATTAAGTTGTTAACGAAAAGACAATGGCGGCTTGTCCTATTTCGAGAATAACCCAAAATCGAAAATTTTGAAATGTGCTGTATAGTATTAATAGCTGTGTAAAAAATGGTAACGTTTTTTTTTTTTGTAGAAAATTGAATACTGCTCCTTAAGTGCCTGAAGTCGTTAAAGAAAGCATTCTAAGGAGATTTTAACCACAAACTTCGCCTTAGAAATAAGCTTGTTTGACGAGTAAATCATTAAAAGGCAAATAACTTAGAACGTCTTTGCGATATGATTACCAAAAATAGAGTAAACGTGGTTTGAGTTCTAGCATGGGTGTTTGCCTTTGGAAGCATGATGCTTTGAGCAATCTACAACGCAGTGAAACCTCCAGAAAAATTAGGATGCCAAAAAAATGGCC